CCTGGTTGAAGCCCACCTGTAGTCCTTTGATCTGATTGGACAGGATTTATCACCTGCCCTGCAGCCAGTACCTCTGACCCACCAGAACCCTGAGAGYGGGTCAATGCAGTTCTGCAGAAATGTTCCTCAGGAAGGTCCTCAGACCGACACTGGACCCACCACCAGGTTCTCAGAACCCTCCACCCTGATGGCTCGGATTAGCCGGGTCCAGTCAGCAGGGGTTCTGGTGGACCCAGACCTGACCCGCTCTCTGTGCTGATCAGCCTGATCAGGTGACGGCTGGCTCTCAGCTGTGTACCTGTGGACAGGTGAAGCTGATGGTYACATGACCTCTGAGCAAACAGCTGAGAGTCAATATTAGAGCASAAATAACCTCCTGCTTTGATACCARCAGAACCAGAACCAGAACATGAAGTCCAACAAGTCCAGCATCACAACGCTCTGACTGCAGATGCTTTAATTCAGGGGATCGTAACCTTTTTGACCTCTGTGCCCAATTTATAAACAAAGTCACACGAGGTCCAGTCACACATTACCATACGATCAAAATCATAATTATTATAAATCTTGGTTTAATTTGTGTTGTATTTACATTATGATAAATAAAATACACTTACAGTTTAAAAGTAAAACTCCTGTCAAATAATCACAAGACATGATTATAACAAATATTTTTATATTGTAACCTGACCATAACAATTATTTGAACAAATACAACAGTCGACAGACGACTCAGGCTTATCAACACAACAATAACCATCCATCCATTTCCTGTTCACTTCTTCCTGTCAGGGTCACTGGTGCCCATACCCAGCAGTCACAGTGGGGGGTGGGGGTGGGGGGGGTTACACCCTGGACTAGGGTTGGGCATAATCTTATCGTGTGAAATTAATCGTCAGAAAAACATTAATCGATTACTTTTTGGCACCTGACGATGAATATGATTAACGCCACCAGGTGGACTGACTGGGGATTACTCCGTCAGTCCTCTCGGTGCTCCTCTGCTTCAAATATGACCAACATTAAAAATAAAGTTCTGTAATTTATTCATCAACACAATTTAAAATATGATGTATACCCTGAAATCTGTCATTTTCACACAATTTGGAACAATTTTTACAAAGAGCAAATCTTTCCCACTAAATTGGTCATGTGACCAGGACATAAGAGTGTCCAGGGGATTAATCGTCAAATTAATCATTATCGGCTAAATACCGCAATTAATTGTGATTAATTTTTTTGCCAATATTGCCCAACCCTACGCTGGACAGGTCGCAAGTCCATCACAGACAAAAATAAATAATTTTTTAACATGAACAACAAAAATAGACAATTCAATAAATAAAATTGTGATCATAAAATAAATACATTCAAAATATTTAATTTAAATGTTCCAAATAAAAAACTAAAAATAAATTTGAAAAAGTGCAAATGAAAATAAAGCCTTTTAAAACTTTTGCATGGTAGAACCAGAAGCTGCTCTTCATATTAGTGACAAACAATAACAGTAACAGCAGCTTTTTGACAAAATTCTTAAAAATAAATTACACAAATTAATTTAAAGTACAAATTAAAATATAGTTGTATCTGCAACTGTATTTGATAATGTTTTGAACTTTTAAAATATTACATGGTAAAAACAGAAGCTGCTCTTCATATTAGTGACAAACTTTGGTGTTTTTGATGAGTTACTTTCATTTTTGTTTCTACTTTTCATTTAAAATAAGTTTCCATTCTCAGCAGGTTTCTAAGGTTCTTCTTCTACATATTAAAAAGTTGTTAAACATCTGAGTGGTGCACTACTGCTACTAGTGGTGAGAAAGTGTATTACACCTTATTTAAAATCAATGTGGTCCCACGGCCCTCTGTGGCCCAAAGTTAAAAACTGTTGTTCTTTTGAGGCCCTCAAGGTGGCGCTGTGGCCCACAGGTTAAGAATCTCTGCTTTAATTCATTAATAGTTTTTTACATCTTATTGTGCTCAGAGTGTTTAAAAGCATAAATTAACTCCTGTCACACAAAAACAACAGATTTAATCTTTTTATTATTAATTATTCAGACACTGATCACTTTATAAAGCTGGACTTTTACTTTAGCTTTGATCAAATATTATTATTTTTTTATTTATTACAGAAGCTGTAAAAAAGTTTATTGAACACTAGCATGTTTGCTGTAGATCTGAAGAATCTGTTAGTAAAATATTTTGTTCAATGATCAATGTTTGTCTGCAGCAGCTGCTCAGTTTCTGCTCTGAGTTTACTAATCCTCAGATAACTGCTGGCAAAGTTTGACAAAAGAGCTGAAGAAACTGCAGCTCAAAGCTTACAGTAGCAAAATACTAGAAAGTCAAAATTAGCAAAATTCTAAACAAAAATAACAGTAGCTAAAATTAGCAAAATGCAAAATAAACAGCGAAACACTAGCTAAAAGTCAAAATTAGCAAAATGTTAAACAGCAGCTGAATCCTAAAATGAGCAAAAAGTTAACCATATTTATTCAAACAGTAGCTTAAAACTAAAAGTAGAGAAATTCATGCATAAAGTAGCCATATGCTAGTTAAAACTAGCACAGTGCTAAATAAAAGTAGCAAGACATTAGCTAAAAGTTAAAACTAGCAAAGTTCTAACCATAAGTAGTGAAATGGTAGCTTACATCTCAATGTAGAAAAATGGGTAGTGGTGGCGCAGAGGTTAGAGAAGATAAGTCTGTGATCGGAAGGTTGCCRGTTAAACTCCCCATACAAACCAGCCCCACTTTGGGCCCCTGAGCAAGGCCCAGCTGATCTCTGGGCGCAGCCCACTGCTCCACACGTGTGTTCACATGTGCGATGGGTAAAATGCAGAGAATTAATTTCCTCTCTGTGGGACAATAAAAGCTAAGGGATTGTTGTCCAATATTTTAAGGGCCTGTTTGTAACAAGACTCTACAGTTTTATCACTGACACAGTGGCTTGTCCCCAACATGAAATACATTATGAAATGTGTGAAAAAATGAGTGCTTGCATGAATATCTTGGACGCTTCCAATCATAAACAAGATCTAACATGTCTAAAATTGACCGAACTATGTCTAACAGTTGTCGTTTTAAAAAAAAAAAGTTTCTTGTAGTTGAGGTTAGAATAAAAAAAAAACCTTCAAGATACTTAAACTCAGTCACAGTGTCAATTTGTCTACCCTTGATGTAAATGTTTAAATTTGAGATGTCCAATTTAGTCTTAGAGAAAAACATAGTTTTTGTTTTGTTTACAATTAAAGTCAGACAGGATTGATTTAACGAGTCAACCACACCCTCCAAAGCTTTGGTTAATTTCTCAGCCGCAAGTTGAGCCATTTTAGCGTGTGTGTACAAAACGGTGTCATCCGCATATAACTGGACTTCTACATCATGACAAAACTTTGGAAGGTCATTGATGTAAAGGCTAAAAAGCAGGGGTCCAAGCACAGATCCTTGTGGTACACCCATTGTGCATTCTAAGAAACTTGAATGTGCATCTTTGATTTTAAGTGAATTTGAAGTGAATGTTGTTGAGGCCGCGGCGGTGATGTTTGTTCTTTAGTAATTAATTTATCTGCAGTTAAAGTTTCCGTCTGTAATTTTCTCTAATTTTGTTTGCTACCTGCAGTGACACCTCGTTGGTCGGTGTGACCCCCGCAGGCCCGCCCCCTCACAAGGCGGGTCCTGATTGGCCGCACCGGCACTGGTGGGGGAAAATGGCCGCCACCCTCCATTGAAGATTGAAACTGGGCGTTCCCCCCTCCCCCAACATCACTGTTCATGGCTGAGTTCCGAACCGTGACCCCGCCCCTTCCTGCTGCGCTGTAGAGTACTATGGCAATGCATGATATGAGTCGTGCCAAGGGTTTCCCCTGTAAAGAATGTGATATGGTCTGTCCCAGTACTCCAAGTCTATTAGAGCATATGAAAGCACACTATCAGCAGGAAGAAAACGGACGATTCGAGTGCGAACAGTGCGGTCGTATCTACAAGCACGCAGCCAGCCTAGCCAATCACAAGAAGTCTCACGAGGTAGGATCCTTCCAGTGTCCGGTTTGTACGCGCACGCTACCCAACGCGGTAGCTTTAAAGAACCATCTTCGGATCCATACTTTGTCCCCCAGTAGTGCGCACGCCGAGGAGGAGAACGAAGAGGCGCCCGAGGAGGCGGCCCACGACGAGAGGAGTTACAGCCTGGCCCAGGACCTCTCGGACGGGTTCAGTCGCTCTCATCTGAACAATAGTGGTATGGGCCATAGCGTCCTGCCAGGCCACGAGACAGACGAGCACGGGAAGAAAGGCTCCCCTGAATCTGACGACGCCTGGGACAGGCCCTTCAAGTGCGACCAGTGTGACCGCACCTACCGGCATCACGGCAGTCTGGTGAACCACAAGAAGTGTCACCAGCAAGGAACGTTCAAGTGTTCTGTGTGTTTCAAACAGTTCAGCAACCTGGCTGCGCTCAACAGCCACGAGAGGTCTCACTCCAAGTTCAAGGCGCCGGGGGCATCCATGGTGAGCGGCGCCGGCGGCCTCCACAGCTCAGAACGCAGCGCCGGCTCTCAGTCGTCTCAGAGCAACGACTCCGCCTCCTGTTTCTGCCACCTGTGCCAGGTAGCGCTGCCCAACAAGGCGGACTTTCAGGAGCACATCCTGCTGCACAACACCACCTCGCCCTCACTCGGACTGACACGCGGCTTCCCCGGCCTCATGGCCCACAACCTGAGCACCGTGCGTTCCCCGGCGTACACCCCTGCTCTTGGGGACCCTCTCCCTCTGCCACCCCTGCCCGCTGAGAAAAGAGGCCCCTATGACCCCATAATGGGTCCCCCGGTCAACAATCCCATCTACACATGTGCGTACTGTGGGGCAGGACACCCAGACCTGGAGACTCTGAAAGTCCACTACCTGACCCACGACCCGCACCCGCCCTCCCACAGTCAGGACAGCTCCATCCTCAACTCAGACACTCTCAGTTCTGGGTCGCAGGGCTCGGTGGCGTCCCCCTCCGGCAGCCGTGTGCCTCAGCCCAGCTCTCCGGACGACGAGGAGCGCCGCTTCAAATGTGGCGAGTGCGGCAAAAGTTACCGGCATGCAGGAAGCCTGGTGAACCACAAGCGCTGCCATCAGACGGGCCACTACCAGTGCACCATCTGCTGTAAGCAGTACCCCCACCTGGCGGCACTGCACAGCCACCTGCGGAGCCACAAGGGCCGTCCCTCCAACCAGCCAATCGGCAACGAAAGCGGCGACTGGCTGTCCCCGGAGCCGCTCACGCTGGACTCCCAGCAGAGCTATGTCCAGGAGGGCAGCAGCGCCACCACTCCCATCTCGCTGCCAGGGAACCTGGGCGACGCTGCTCACTTCGTGCCCGATGGCGGCCACAGCAGCGCTTTGGACTCGCTGGAGTTCCACGACCGCTTTGACGGCAACTCGCTGTCCCAGAGCAGCTCCGCCCACCGTCAGGCTGACAGACACGTGTGCGCCGACTGCGGGGAAATGTACGGAGACGTCTCAGGCATCAAGTCCCACATGTGTCCTCGCCGCAGCCAGCAGCAGCAGCAGCAGCAGGGCAACATGTCCAACGGCTTCATGGGGAACATGAACTACCACGGCTCCGGTGGGACCTCACTGGCCTCTGGGAGCTCCAGCAGCATGAAGGAAAGTAGCAACCAGAGACCCTACTCCCAGAGCGCAGCCAAGAGGATGGGAAGTAACAACAAGGATGACGACGACGATGGCGAGGTGTATCAGTGCTCCGTTTGTGGCAATCATTACGCCAGCCTCAGAGCCCTCAGGAGCCACCTGCGCAGCCACGCCAACAACCCCACCGGACCAGGACCATCCACCCTGGAGCAGGACTGGAGGATGATCTGCTCCACCTGTGGCCAGAGCTTCTCCAGGAAACAGGAYCTCCTGAACCACCAGTTGATCCACGGTCCCCAGAGGTCGGACAGCCAGCAGCCAGGCATCGCTGGCGGCTCCGCCAACGGCAAGCTAGACGGACGCAGCCACATCTGTGTCGACTGTGGCATGTTTTTTGTCGACCATCACCACCTGATCACCCACCTATGTCCTGGAAAGAATCGGGCCGGCTCCATCAACAAAGGAGGCCTGAACGGAGGCAAAGGGATGACCGGAGGCGATGGGGTTGCCGGGGGAAGCGGCAGTGTGGGAGGCGATGGACGCAGGTCGATGGTTGACCAGAGTGACAAACCTCACAAGTGTGACCAGTGTGGACGAGGGTACAGACACCCCTGCTCACTCCTCAACCACAAGAAGTCCCATAAAACCGGCGTGTTCCGCTGCCTGGTGTGCCAGAAGCGCTACTACAACCTGCTGGCTCTCAAGAACCACCAAAGGACCCACTTTGACTTGAAAAGGTACGTCCATGTTCACCTTCTGCAAGTTACCCGGAGTCTGAACCTTGACAAGGAATCCTCACGGGCACGTTAGTTCTGATAAAACTAGCTGTAATGCTTGTATAACAAACTTATATATATTTTAGAATAGCATTAATTACTCAGAGCATTTTGTTTGATAGAGTGACAGAACAAGTTTGTCATATATAATAGTTTTTTCTTGAATTTTATTAGAGTTTGCCAAAAACTCCATAAACCTTACACGACAGTCTCATTGTCAGGCGGTTGTCGTTAGAGTTGGACAAAAGGTTTCCCATCATTCCAACAATCTGATCGGTTTTATGTGTGCACAGGTGTGTTTAAAGCAGGGCTGAACCAGGTAAACCACCAAACCTGAAGATAAAACATCAACTGTTTGTGGCCTAAAAGAAAAAATTCACAGATTTGGGATTGCTTTAGTTTAAATCAAGGAGTTATTTAAAACTTTTGTTTAGAAATATGACAGATCTGTGCTAGGAGCTGCAGGCAGCTCAATCAAGCTGAGATTTAACTGAACGTTAAAACCTGCACCCAAGCCATAAACCTTTGTAAGTAAGTGGCGGCTGTGGTGAAGTGGTTAGGGGAGTCGTCCTGGATCCGGAAGGTCGCCGGTTCGATCCCTCATCCAGCTGTTTCAATCGTTGTGTTCTTGGGCGAGACACTTCACCCGCCTTGTCTACTGATGGTGGTCAGAGGGTCCGGTAGCACCGCTGCATGGCAGCCTCGCTTCTGTCAATGTGCCCCAGGTCAGCTGTAGCTACAGTGTAGCTTAGCACCATCGGTGTGTGAATGTGTGTGTGCATGGGTGAATGTCTGTAAGTGTAAAGAGCTTTGAAGTCTGGAGGGACTTGATAAAGCGCTCTATAAGTTCAGTCCATCTACCATTTGTAAACCTAATTCTGTAAAGCAGACAGAATTWTTCATCTAATGGATTAAAAACAGTCGAGGACCAAGAACACATTCTTGAGGGACGCCACAACTTAGTCTGTTTCTGAGATCAAATGATCCGATAAATATTATTTTTCTACACATCAGAGGAGGTGTTGAAGAGACACAGTAAAAACCGTGATGCTGTTATTTTATATTCAGGTTATTGTTTTGTTCTTCGCTTCATTCCTCTTCGTTCCTGCTGCAGGCACAAATGTGAGGAATGTGGCAAAGCCTTCAAAATCCAAAAGCAGCTCATCAACCACCTCCGTCTCCACGAGGAGCACCGAGCCAAAGGTCTGGTCCGGACCGGGCCCAACAGTTCCCGCTTCCAGCAGCCCGGCCCGTCTCAGACGATGCAGACGATGAGAGCGGATGCTGCGAAGGGCCCCGTGATGGGGGTCAAGTACAGCCACCAGGGCTTTAAGAAGCCCTACTCCTCCGCCGGAACCTCCAGGCCCCAGAAGTTCGACCCTGCTGAAAGTGGGAGGCGGCCTTTCGCCTGCGAGGAATGTGGGAAGACGTACCGACACGCCGGCAGCCTGGCCAACCACAAGAACCTCCACAAGATCGGGGAGTACCACTGCAACGTCTGCAACTCCACGTACCCCAACCGGCTGGCCATGAAGAACCACCTCCGCCTCCACTTCGCCCAGAAGAAGCACAACTGCCAGGAGTGCGGCAAAGGCTTCCGCACGCAGCGGCAGCTCGCCACCCACACTACGGCCGGCCTGTGCAAAGGGCCGCAGGGCCCCGGGGCCCAGATGGACTTCGAGTGCGATGGCTGCTGCGAAGGCTTCGCCACGGCCGACGAGCTTTCAGCTCACGACTGCCCGGCCCAGCACCTGCCTTCTTCATCCTCCACCACCACTGCCGCCTCCACCACCATCAACATGGAGCGGACCCCCGTGGACCTGGACTCGGATGAGCGGCCGTACGCCTGCGACCTGTGCAGCTGCACCTACAAGCACGCCAGCTCCCTGCTCAACCACAAGCACACCCACAAGACGGGCAACTTCCGCTGCAACTTCTGCGACAAGCCCTACACCAACTACATGGCTCTGCGCAACCACATGCGCATCCACACGCAGCGCAAGAAGCACATCTGCCACACATGTGGGAAGGCCTTCCGCCTGGCCCGGTTCCTCAGGAACCACCAGAAGGTGCACGAAGAGGGCGCCACCCCATTCGGCTGCCCCAGCTGCGGGAAGAGCTTCCAGGGGAGGTCCGGCCTGGCCCGGCACCGCTGCGGGGACAACCAGGTAGGCATGGAGGTCAGGAGGAAGAGCGCCGCACCCGCGGGGGAGGAAGAGTGTCGGTACACGTGAGTTCCTGCCAGTTGTTTGTGATTCTTCGAAGTTGAAAAACAAATAGAGAAGATAAATTTAGGTCTCTACGTGTCTATTACAGGTATATGATCTCCAATCCGGCTTCCTTGGGACCATACGCGTGCCGGAATTCGGATTTTTCTGAAGTTTGGACAGATTGAATTAGACACCAGATAAGTCATCCCCGTTTGCTTTCAGTTAGCATAATATCACACACTGTAGTTTGTAGGCTGCCTTCACCAGTCATGTTGTGTTTTCATGTTGTCTTCTTCCCTGACAGCCTCAGATTGACCCTGCTGCTCATYGTGTTGTGTGATTGTGTTGTGTTGGACCACGAGCAGATTAGATGTTTGAGCAGGAGGATCTGGAGCTCGCTGCTCTGCACACACCCAACATGCTTTGGTTCCTCAGAGAGAACCCAGCTGTTGGTGCAGCGCAGGAAGCTGCAGATTCCTCCCAGCTGGGTGTCCACRTCCCCCTCCCCCACTTAGCAGCCCCCCTCAGTGACCTGTGTAGAAACGATAGAATACTTTACAAAAACTCTGAGCCGGATTTCAGATCATATACCTGTATGTTGAACATGTGAAGTTTATATGGGATAAATCTTGTGTCAGCAGGAAATGAGTTTGAATTCTTCAGATTGAATCTGAATCTTCATAATTTGAAATTGATGCATTGTTTTTAAAATAAATTTCAATAAAGTGAAACTGAATTTAAAGTTTTGTATCTGAATTAATTTGTTTTGAAACTGTATTTTGTTTTATTAAAAATTCAGTTTGACTACTTTCACTTTCAGTTCCATAATTCAGATTTTTGTGTCACATCCTGGTCCTTGAGAAAGCCAGGCAGAGTAATCAAACACAGATCCACAGATTTATGTTTCACTTTGGTGAAGTTTCCCTTCTGGATGTAACAGAGTTGATGCCAGGGGTGTCGCTAGGTTTTGAGGACAAGGGGGGCTTAGCCCCTAGGAGACGCACAGAATTTTTGTATTTTAAATTTGTATTGTGTGTCTGTGTCTGTATACAGGATATATATG